GCTTAGGAGTTGGGATCGGAAAAGAAAGCTATTGATCCCGGGCATCTCACCACTTACCACCATTGTGAATGGTGGTTTCATCCAGCACAGGAGACAGGGGCATACAAAGATTGGATAGGAGCGGGATTCTTTCGGCCGATTGACTTCGTTTTGCGTGGGAAAATGCAAAATAAAGCGTTTTTTGAAGAACAGGCTGGGTTAAGCTTCTCCTGGCAAGGATACTTACAACTGAAAAACCTAATGGAATTTTTGGATACCAAGGGGACTTTTAATAGACCCCTTTCTGGATTGGATAACATCTTGTTGATATACCCTGACTCTTCCAAGGGACTGATGGCAAACTTATACAAACTACTTCAGGAGGCAGAAATGCAATCACCACAAAGGCATCACCTTCGCTGGCAGGAGGACCTAATGATGAATATACCGTATCAAGTGTGGACTGAAATCTGGAACTCGCCAACCAATCATTCCAGAAACTTTACTATCCACTTACAATTTTTTAAGCTGGTCACTAGGTGGTATTACACACCAGAAAAGCTAAACAAGATGAATCTAACAGTGAGCCCACGTTGCTGGAAGAAGTGTGGAAACATAGGGTCGTATTTGCATTGCTGGTGGTATTGCCCAATCATAAATGCTTTCTGGGTGGAGGTTATCAGGAAAATAAATGAGATCACTTCACAAACGTTACCAATCTGCCCCAAACTTGCACTTCTAGATTTTTGTTTTTTGTCTTTGCTGTTTTGTTGCATTTCTTTCAATAATTTTTTTAAAAATAAAAATAAATAAATAATGGTAGATTCGGGTGGGTAGCCGTGTTGGTCTGAAGCAACAGAACAAAGTTTGAGACCAGTGGCACTTTTAAGACCAACAAAGTTTAATTCAGTGTATAAGCACAAAAGCTTATGCTCAGAATTAAACGTTGTCGGTCTTAAAGGTGCCCCTGAATTCAAACTTTGTTCTGTTGCAACCATAGTGGTTCTTATAGTGATTGACAAAAATAACAACATCAATAATAGTACTGATAATAATAACTCTTTTACTGTATTTACTGAAATGCAAGATTAGGGTTCCCCCCCACCCCAGGTATAAAGGTAAAGGTTCCCTTGCTTGAAAGCCAGTCGAATCCGACTCTAGGGTTGTGGTGCTCATCTCCGTTTCAAAGCCGAAGAGCCAGCGTTGTCCAAAGACATGGTCATGTGGCCGGCATGAATAAACACTAAGGTGCACTAAGGTGCACGGAACGCTGTTACCTTCCCACTGAAGTGGTACCTATTTATCTACTTGCAATTTCTTGCTTTCGAACTGCTAGGTTGGCAGGAGCTGGAACTAGAGACGGGAGCTTACTCCATCATGCAGCACACTCGTGTCTCGAACTGCTGAACTACCAACCTTCCACAGCCTGCAGTTTAGCGTCTTAACCACTTGAGCTATCCTCCAAAAGAAAGAGGCCATTTTACACTTGCGTGCAAATTACACTTATGTCCAGGATTTTTTTTTTAAGTATGTATACCTTTGGAAAGGGGTTGTCTTAGATTCACAGTATCCTTCCTTTCAAATAAACTAGGGTAACCGTATTAAATATATAGATAAGAACATCAAGAAAACTTACTAGTGATTTCTATTTCTTTCTGTTCAGAGCAGTTTTCAGAAGAACCTCCCAATGTCAAGCTTCTGAAATGACGTTACTCGTTCCAGGTGGTCTCTCCAGTCCTTCCTTCCATGCCATTGACATGTTCTTCTTATGTTTGTACAGGCGACCCAGCTCATCCCCGAAAACCAGCTGTTGGGATGAATAAATAAGCAACACTTAGAAATAGAGACTTTGCCTTTGAGATCCTTTACTCTGAGTTCCACATGGATTTCTCCTTGTTGAAATGCTATTTCTGGAGAAAGTGCCAATTCTAAACCAGTCCTTCTGCCACACTGAATAGGTGGGAAACGAGTTGTGAGTGCAATTCTCCCCCCAAAACAGATGTATGAAGTGTCAATTAATTGGCACTTTTCCGTATTTGTCAGTGCAATGGTTTCTTTGCAGATTCCAGAACAATGGGCCATGAGAATCATAGCGTGGTGACAGAATTCATCTTTATTGGATTTTCCAGTTTCCCAGACCTGCAGGTCCCACTGTTCGTGGTCTTCTCCATCATGTACTTCGCCATTTTGGCTGGAAATATCATCATCATCATGACAATAAAGTGTGACTCCAGCCTCCACAACCCCATGTACTTCTTCCTGGCCATCCTCTCTGGTTCAGAAATCTGCTATACAATCACCATTATCCCCAATATGCTTGTAAATCTTCTAAGAGAAAAGGCGACTATTTTATTCATTGGTTGTGCTGTTCAGATGTGTCTGTTCCTGGGCTTTGCTTGCACAGACTGTATGCTTCTCACAGTGATGGGGTATGACCGATACGTGTCCATATGCAAGCCTTTACATTATCCGGTTCTGATGAACCAGAGATTCTGTACTAAACTGGTGGTCTTTTCGGTAACGACTGGTTTTCTTTTTTCTACAGTGGAGACGTATTTCATATTTACCTTGCCCTTCTGTGGACCGAATAAAATCAATCACTTCTTTTGTGATCTAGCGCCCTTGCTTGAGTTGGCCTGTGGCCGAAATTATATCGGGGAAATTGTCATCTTTGTCATTTGTTTCTTGGTGGTCGTTTTCTCCTTCCTTCTGGTCATTCTCTCGTATCTTTTAATCTTAAACACAATCCTGAAAATCCCCACAGCAGAGGGGAAACGCAAAGCCTTTTCCACTTGTGCCTCCCATCTCATAGTGGTGGTTGTGCACTTTGTCTGTGCTTCCATTATTTACCTGCGACCTCAATCCAGGTACACTCTGAATGAGGACACCTTGATCTCTGTCACATATACGCTGGTGACCCCGTTGCTGAACCCTGTTGTTTATACTTTGAGGAACAAGGATGTCCAAGTAGCACTCAAGAAATCCCTGGGCAGAAGCACATGCATCCGGAAGATTTAAGAAGCACTTACGGGTTCGTGGGGGATGAAACTTGGTGTCAAATTTATGTTGGGGAAATAGTAATCACCTTTGGGAAGAATGATGGAATTAAACTAATATTTGTTACTGTATGGAGTGAGAATGTTTTTGACAGTGATGTAGTGTTCTCCTAACACCCATCTATGAATTATTAAAACAGTGTTCAGAATATGTGACACTTTAGTTTTTAAAAACCACCTCTGATCTGTCTGCTTTGTTAAAATTGGGGAAACAAACTGGCGGTGAGAAGGGATTCTCTTGCAACTGTAATTGTAGTCCTGAATGCCAGAGACAAAGATGTTCTTTAAATTCCTTGCAGTAAACCCTAGATGCCTGACCTATGTGCAGAACCTTGCTTCTGCAAACATCCCCCAGCTGTATGAGGAAATACACCAGCAAGTGCGTGTTGTATGTTGAGGTTTTCCCAGCAGCACTCATGGGTGCCAGTTTATTCCTATGCAATTCTGAGGCAACATTAATGCTTCAAACTTCTTCCTGCTGGACCCGCTTATGGCTGTTCCTTGGGTGTTCTGATAATATTTTTGCCATCCTTAGATGTGGTGATATTTTTCTTGATTTTGTAGAATGGCTTAATGGTCTCCATTCTTCCATTTAAATTTCCCCATTGTTCAGATTCCATCTATGAAGACCACTGACCAGAATCCTTCCCTGCATTATTCTAGCCATCATCCACCACATTTGCACAACGGCTCTTTTTTGTATGTGTCAAACATAACACTTCATGTTCAACAACATACACATATGAGTCAGAAATATTGACAAAGAAATTCTTTGAGTGTGGGTATCCCAATAGGGTCGTTCCATCTGCCAGAAGTATGGCCAACTGTTTAATAAGAGACTTGAAAAAGATTCCCCCCCCCCCAATGTAATTGGAGAACCAGTTTGGTGTAGACTCTGATCTGGGAGAACCGGGTTTGATTCCCCACTCCTCCACTTGCAGCTGCTGGATGACCTTGGGCAAGCCATAGTTCTGTCAGAGCTGTTCTTGAAAAAGAGCAGTTTCTGTCAGAGCTCTCTCAGCCCCACCTACCTCACAGGGTGTCTGTTGTGGGGAGGGGAAGGGAAAGGAGTTTGTAAGCCGCTCTGAGACACCTTCAGATAGTGAAGGGTGGGGTATAATTCCAATCTCCTCCTCCTCCTCTTTCTTCTCACATAATGTAATGGACTGTGTTGGCATACCCCGAATTGGGGCAGTGCCCACTGCCTCTGGCCGCTGCCTGCACACATCCTATACCACCCTCTTGCCTGCCCTTCTCTCACCCATTTGCTCCAACTTCTTTTTCTTTTGGTGGGTTTTTTTTGGGGGGTGTATGTGTATGTGCTTGCATGCTAGGAAGTCATAGCAACTTCTGGTGACCCTACTGGGGCTTGGATGTTTTTCAGAGAGGTGGCTTGATAGCCTGCCAATGTGTCGTGGGTCCTGGTATTCCTTGGAGGTCTCCCTTCCAATTACTTTCCAGGGTTGGCCCTGCTTAGTTTCCAAGATCTGACAAGATCAGTCTTGCCTGAGCTATCTAGGTCAGGGAACAAGTGCTCCAACTCCTGTGCTAGCTGGGCTCCCTAACACTGTGAGGGAAGAATGTGTGGATAGTGATGGGACTGATCTCGGCTACTTACCATCTCTTAATTACACATGATGCCCCTAAAACACTACCTTACCAAAATTTGTGGGAAAAAGATTGAATTGAATTTATGAATTGAATTTATTACAGCGCATAGCCAGCAATATAAAACCATACCTACAAATATTTATCATATAAATAGATTACAATGTCTAAAATATCCAGATGGTAAAACTATTTGTGTAAAATTATACAAGCATTTTAAACTCTAAAACCAGAAATACGGTGTAAAAAAGGACAGAATTTTAGTCTTAAAAAAATAAAGTAATAAGAATAAAAAGATCAATTAGATTAAAAACAAACAGTCCTAACCCAAGTGGCTGCCTGAACACTGATGAGCTTTTACAACCAAACAACAAAATTTAGCACCCGCCGCTCATGCTCGCTGGCCGCCAGCGCCTTCTGCAGCTCCAGCACCTTCTCCTGGGCTGCGCCACTGTTGGTCTTGCTCTCCAGCAGGGAGGCCGAGAGCGCCTGCACCTTCTCCTGGAGGGAGCGCTCGGTCTCCACAGCCTTGGCCAGCACCAGGTTAAGGCGGTCCAGGGACAGCTGCTGGGCACCCGCCCTCCTCTCCCCCTCGGCCACCTGTGGCGGGCAAGATGGGAGCGAGTGAGTGGGGGGGGACCCCCCACATGCGCAAGAGCGCCTCGGGCTCATGACAGCTCTCTGGCTAAGAGCTTGGCTTCCTGGGCCAGGCGTCTCCGCCTGCCACCATGGGATTCGTGTCTCCATCAAAAAATAACAATTTCCATTTTAAAAAAACCTGCTGCCAATTAAATTAGCAGGATCTTTCCAACTGATCAGCAGGTTGGAAGGCGTGTGGAGTGTGTGCGCTTTCTTAATGTGCTATCAGCCTGCCATAGGGTGTCACCTTTGAACTGCAATTAGCTCATCAGAGTCTAGGGACCGCCACGCATCCTTCCCTCTCCTGCTCGTGGGATTTCTGTCCTGGGGTGGCCGTGATGGCCCATTCATTCTGCCCTCGGCCACCAGGCACCTGAAAGGCCTGCTGGAGCACGGTCTGCTCAAGATCTGTTAAGGTCTTCTGCGTACAGAAGCGGCACAGAACCAGTCGCCTTCTGCAAGCGCCTCCTTCTGGAGAATCTCAGCCTTTACTGAACAAGGAGCGAAACCTCCCCCGCTTTCTAGCCCAGGCGGCTGCAGCAACAAGCGGCACAGGGGCTGAGACCACCCCAGAGCACCACGGGGCCTGCCTGTCACATGCCCTACACACCTCCCACCCCCCTGCAAGCAAGACTCCCCCAAGTCAGCAAAGAGCGAGCATCAGTCAGAACGGCCCCGGGTGCCCGCCACAAGTACCTCCCTCTGCAGAGCGTCGACACGGTCCCGCAGCCCCTGGAGCTCCACCTGGCGATCGGAGAGGCCCAGCCGGGATCTCTGTAGCTCCCCCTCCAGCGAGCGTCTCGACAGCTCCACTTGGGTGCAGCGACCCTCTGCAGCATCCAAGACGGCCTTCAGGCGCTGCTTGTCCGCCTCCAGCTTGGCCTCACCCGCTTTCATCTTGCCAAGCTTCTCCTGGGGTGGGGGTGGGGGGAGAGGCTGAGGGAGACCTTGGAAGGCTGCCGCTGCCTCCTCCTCCTCCTCCCTGGGCCAGAGGCTCAGGGGGCCCCTCAGGAAGGCAGCCACTCTCTGAGGATACCAACGTCTGATCCAGCTCAGAACCAAGGGCCGACTCCCCCCCACGTCACTCTGCCTTGGGTCACTTCACCCTTAAAATGACTGATCATTCTTTTGAACTAGGTGCCTTGCCTTTTAAACACATGTATATTCTTCTTTAAAATGCAAATCACAAGCAAGAACGGCAATTGCTACCTGCTGGAAAAACCCAAACCCTCCCTCATTAGGACTTTGGTATCAAAAATTGTGGGATCAATTCCTAATGAATTCAGTTACCAATAAATTGAACAGAACAGCTCCAAAACCTATAGAAAGACCTATAATGGAAAAATGGGATCCCATATTGGATTTCTTAGTAACAGAAGATTTTTTACCCCCATCTTGGCAGCAATTTCGGAAATGGATGTGAACCCTCTCTCGTCATAGATAAAGGAAACAGGTTGGATTTGTTGGACACATCATTCTTATAAAAATATAATATACCGATTCTTAATTACTTCTTATAGGATTAAAATCGTGAGAACAGCGTTCTATTTCAGAGATAACAGAGTGGACTGTTTATTCTTTTATTGTTGATGCAAATGATTGTACTTTTTCTGACTTTTGATGTTACATACCTTGATACAAGATTTATATTATTGATATTGTACTTACATTTTCTGTACCAATTCACAAAATAAAGAAAAAAGCTTATTAAAAAAAAAAGAAATTCTAAAACCATACTTATCATAACATACTAAAGTGCTAGTAGTGATTCCTCAACATACAGTCAATCCCTTGATCTTCAGTTATTCAGGCAATCAGGTCAGGCGGTAGTTGAGGATCCAAAGGGGTCCAGCTCTCTTCAAGGGCTATCAGACATCATTCCACCAGATGGGAACTGCTACCGAGAAAGCCCTCGCCCTGGTTGTCACTAACCTGGCCTCCTTGATGTTCGGGAGGGCCAGGTGGTTCTGGGTCCCCAATCGAAGCACTCTCTGGGGAACATCGCAACCCCCGTGTTGCTTCCCCCCAAAGCTCCCACGGGTTGCCAGGCATGCCATGGCTATCCTGCTAGGGTGAGGCAGGATCAGGCTTGGAGGAACATGAGGGAAGGAGGGCACAACTCACACACAGAGTTGACCATGGCCTGGTTAATGTGCAGGTCAGGAGAAACAAGAGTGAGCAATAAATGACTGATGGCCGTTTGGACCCAGAGTGGCGTTACCAAAATGATAGCCGCTTGGGGGAATTCTGGGGTGTTTTGGCCCAACTGCATAGGGTAGGCAAGATCAGGTACCTTTAAAAGAGGCAGCAGCTGCTCTGCCCCCCCCCCCATACCAGACCCACATTGCAGGTGTGGTGAGCAGCGTTACTTCCTTGTAACCCAAGTGAACGTTGGCAATGTGCAGGCCAGAGGTGTGGTCCATGCTGGCCTCCAAACAGGAAGATAGCCTCCGGGACTCCCAGCATTGGGTTCGAACATGCATTTCTAACATTCCAGGCAAACAGCCAATGGCTTTCCCTGCGACTCAGCATAGGAGATTGTGAGCTGGTTCCCATCTCACTTTCATTGCCTCCTCTATCTTTCCCATCCAATCTTCATCTTCTGGACAGGCTTGTATGTTTTATCTTAACCCCCCCCCCCTTCATTAGACTGTCAGATTTGCATGTGCTGGAAGTCAGCCATAGTTAGGAATTATAGACCCGTTGTTTATAGATATGAGTATGTGCTCTTCGTACTTTTTACATTCGTCTTGCTGATTCCCGATGCTATTACAGTATTAAACAATTAACTCCAAAACTTTTCCTGATTATTTTTGTGGTTCTCCACCATCCTATATGAACCACCCAATCCCAGGACTCAAATAAGAATGGCCCAGGATACACGTCTGCATGTGCACTTAACAGACAAAAGGGAGATGCTCCTGTATCTGAGGGGTAGGCTGCTCGGGTAAACACTACTGGCCTTCTGTGTTATTATGTCTGGCAGTCTTTAAGCAGCATCTGGACAGACACTTGTCAGGAGTACTGTGGGCTGATCCTGCATTGAGCAGGGGGTTGGACCGGGTGGCCTTGTATGGCCCCTTCCAGCTCTGTGATTCTATGATTCTACGTAGTGTGTGGGAGGGGGATGTAAAGGGGAAAGCAGCCTGCTGCAGGGTGAACTAGGTCGTGCAGGGGAAATAAAGGGGAGGGGATCATACACCGCTTGTCCTGAAGAGAAGGATCCACAGAGCCAGGTCCCTTGGTCATGGGAGATGGGACCTGGATCGGGAGCAGGACCCTCAACTGGGGAAGGGAAGAACCTTGTGATTTCATCAGTAGAAGAGGTCCAATAAGAATGTCAATCAACCACCATCTCAGGAGCAAAAGCACTTGGGGAGCGACCATAAAGTTGGGGAAGAAGGCTAATAGATTCTTTCGAATAATTGTGCTGGAGAAGACTCTTCAGAGTCTTTTGGACAGCAAGGAGATCAAATCAGTCGAGCCTAAAGGAAATCAATTCTGACTGTTCCCTGGAAGACCAGGTACTGAAGCCGAAGCTCAAATACTTTGGCCACCAAAGGAGAAGAGAGCACTCACTGGAGAAGACCCTGATGCTGTGAAAGATTGAAGGTAAAAGAAGAAGGGGACGGCAAAGGATGAGATGGGTGGACAGTGTTATCGATGCAATGAACATGAAATTAAGCAAACTCCAGAGCACAATGGAAGACAGGAGGGCCTGGCGTGATGTGGTCCATGGGGTCACAAATTGTCGGACTCGACTGTACAACTGAACAACAAAAGCCCTGTATGTGTTTCTGTGTGTTTGTCTATGTGTTTTGCTCTTTTATTTCTCTTTTAATAAAAAAACCCCTTTCTGGCTGAACATCCGTATCGTTTATTTGAGAGCACTCTTAAGGGAAATCTCCCTCGGTGTCCTTAAAGCTAATTCCCCCAACTAATTAGGAGACTACCTATTTGGGTAACAAAATATGTCCCTGATTCCTCTAGGAACTTTCTACTCTTGTGAGATCTCAAAGACAATGTGATGGCTAATGAGTTTTGTATGATGAAATACCAAGGAAATGATATCCTATGGGATTTGGAAACTTGTTTACAATACTTCATGCATTATAAAAGCCATATGCAAAGAACGATATTGCAGCAAATTGGTCTCCATTGGAATGGAATCCAAAGTCTGTTTCCACGTAAGCATTCTGCTTTACATATTACTTCTTGACCCGTAAATGTAGTCTTGAGTTTCAGTAGTGTTTTTAAAAGGCACTCACTCTATATGCTTTCTAGATTGAAGCTGAATGCTCTGTGGCTGAATAGCTGCTTTAAATACAACAGGTTCCAGCTTCTGTTTCTGGCATCACATGTTAGAAAGTTCTCAAGTAGCGGTGCTGAGAAAGATCTCCACAGATGACCTGGGAGAACTTCTGATCACTTTGGAATAGACAATGAGTCAAGAGAACAATGGACTGATTTGAAGGTAGATTCAGAGTACTTTGGACAGTCACTGCTTTGTTAGGCAGATCTCTGTTTAATAGTCCATCTTATGACAGATGATTTCCAATGTGGGGTATCTCAGTCCATTTGAATCATATACGCATTGGACCTTGAAGTTGGTAATATTCATATTCAGCTGAAGCTGAAATGAAAAGTACTGTGTGTGATAAAAAGAAGGCAATATGCACCACTGAGGAATCAAGGGCAGAGGCAGAGAGATATAAAGGGAGTGAGCATGAGTTAGGTGGAACTGGACCTGCAGCCCTCAGGGCAATCTACTGTATGCACAGGTGCCTTTTTGCCTCTGCTTACATCAACTGAAGGGTGTTAGGCAGGGATGCCTCTTAGCCCCATTGCTGTTTATATTCTATATCAACTGAAGAGAACAACTGAAAAGTCCCAGAATCTTCAGCTTTTCTTCATAAGGAAGATGCTCCAACCCCCTCATCATCTTGGTCAGCCTCTTCCATCCTTTTTTCCAGGACTGCAATGTCCTTTTGGATATATGTTGGCCAGGACTGTGCAGTAAAGGAAGCCGCACTGTAGATCTATACAGGAGCTTTATAATATTGGCTGTTTTATTTGGTATATTGGTTAGGAGCCAGTTTGGTGTAGTGATTAGGAGCATGGACTCTAATCTGGGAGAACCAGGTTTGATTCCCCACTCCTCCACATGTAGCTACTGATGTGACCTGAGGTCAGTCACAGTTCTCTCAGAGCTGTTCTGGAAAGAGCAGTTCCCTCAGAGCTCTCTCAGCCCCACCTGCCTCACGGGGTATCCTGTGAGCGACCAGCAGTACAGTTTGATTGAGAAATGCAAAAGCCAGCGACCAGCAATACAGTTGAATTGGAAAAATTTAAAAAGATAAAAAGAGATAAAATTAAGTCTTAAAAACATGCAAGATCATGCCAAATAACGACAAAATCAAAGGGATTTCCAATGCTTGTAAACCTGAGCACAGAATTTAGCCACCTGTTGAGTAGTCTGGAGGTTTCTATCAGACAGGAGATAATCAAGCTTGATTTTATTTGATCTCCCTGGAAATCCTTCTAACAGTGGGCTCTTTCCAATCAGACCTTTGTATAGTTCGGACAGTTAAACAAAATGTGTCCTATAGAGTCAATTTCACCCAGAGAACAGGAACATAGCCTTAGGGGGTAATGGATTGCTTTAAACCTCCCTTCCAACACTGCTGAAGGCAAAGTCAAACTTCTGGCCGGTGTGAATGCCCTTCTGGTGTTGTTAGATTCCAGAAAATATAAATAAGCAGCTGGGGCTGCAGTGTATCTTTTTTTTTTCTGAGGAAATGAATTCTGGAGATCTTGATATGTCCATTTGTCTTTTGGTATCTGTCACTTTTTGCTTGATGAATGATTTTGCCCGGTCTATTCCGATATCCAAAAGGGCTTGGGGAGAGAAGCCTAACGTTTTAATAGATTTTAGAACCTCCTTTTGCCAACTGGAATGAAATTGGTCTTTCAACAGTAATGAAAACAGGCCATGTGGGTTTGTATTTCCTGCCAGCCATTTAAAGATTGATAGGATGCATATTGTAGCCTCAAACCTTAACATTCCTGTCTCGTCTAACCCAGGAGTTTGACACACATTTAGGCACCTGGAGAATAGCTCTCGGCAATCTGGATTGTACTGTCTCAAGCGGAGAGAAAGAAGAAGATGGTGGTCCAAGGAATGTTCCATGTAATAGTCGGGCCAATGATTTAGCTTTAAATAATTTAAGGGTGGCTGTTATATAATGGCCCCCTCATGACTGATGAAATTTCAAAATGCTTATTTGCAGTTTTCTCTCCTGCATCTGCAACATAGCTTCTATGGGCTGCTCTGAAACCAGATGCTTGAAAGACTACTCCCAGATATTTAAGGCTGCTAACTTGTTCTAATTGATTCCCCTGCAAGACCCAGCGTCTGGTCTTTGGGTTTTTCCCAAAGGCCACAATTTTAGTGTTATCATGACTGACAGTATGTTGTTCTTTATCACAGTAGAGGGAGAGTCATATTAGGGCTCGTTTCAGTCCTATGGGCATTCTAGAAAGTAATACAGTATCATCTGCATATAATAATACGTGAATCTGCTGATGTGTGTGTGTGTGTGAAGATCTGCATCATTCACAAAATTTACAAGGTTGTTGATATAGAATATGAACAGCAATGGGGCTAAGAGGATGCCTGTTTCGGCTGCATCTTATTCTGAGGGTAGTTTGTTTATGACTAGCCTGAATGAGAAACAGCAAACATCTATCGATGGAAGAGCCCTCCAACTTTTGCCACAGTCTAGTTCTGGAGACTGAGTCAAAAGCTACCTTTAAATATACAAACACTGCATAAAGTGATGTTGGGCCTCCAATGAATTTCTCCACAAGATGTTGCAATGTTAAGCAGTGGCCTAATGTTGACCTACTCTGGAAACAAAGCAGCAGGGTAGAAGTTGAAGAGAGCTTTGAGGCAGTCCTCTCTCTGAGTCTTCTCAAGTTGTCTATTCTACATCGGTGTTCTTAACCATTTAGCCGAAGAAAGCTGTTACCAGGATAGATCTCTAACTTGCAAGCTGTCAACTACTTTAGATGACAGTTCTCAGCTGCTGCACGTTAATCACTTCTGGCAGCCTAAGCAACAATTCTGATAACAAGCCGACAGGTGGGAGTGATGACTTCTATGGTCAAGAAAGCTAACAGGCAGAAAAGGAGAACAGTTTCTTGACACAGAATTAGAAGAGATCCTAGAGGTCACCTGCTCAGTGTGGGAATTAGTCAACTACCTTTTAAAAGTATTGTAAAATGATTAAAGAAATCATTTACAGGAAATTTCTTGGGAGCAGTGCCTTTAAGAAGGGGCAGATCTCCCCAAAGCCCCACCATAGCTACTGGCCTGGTTGCAGCACCGATCCTTGTGGGAGTCTGCTGATCACTTCCCTCT